AGATCCGGTCCACAGGCCATAGTTTGCCAACCCTTCCCCCGGTAATCCAGTGCCTGTTCAGTTGTTGCACTTTATGGATCAGTTAGGGGCTCAGTTCTGGCCACAGAAAATCCTTCAGTGAAAAACATTGCTCCCTGGAAGGAGAGAGCTGAGGAAGGAGAAAACGTTCTGTAATTTTTCTTTTTTTCCTGCTTTACGTCTTTTGATGGTGTGATGGTATGTTTGTATGTGTGTCGGTGTTTTGGTGGGATGGGGTGTTTGTTGCCCCAGCGTTTTTTTTGGATTGGGTGCTTATTGGTGGGATTGTAAGGTTAGGAGTATGTGCTGATGGGTGGCGTAGATTGCAGTGCTGCTTTGTGACCTTCGCTGTCCAGGGTGCTTTTTGCCTTTCCACCTCCCGGTTTTTTCATCTGTAGTCATGTTACCTTGTTTTTCTCTTACGTGCTTTTTTTCATTTTTCCTTTTTCCCTCTTTTTTTTTCTTTTTTTACGTCCATTAGAGCTGGGTCTTGGATTCATTCCTGTGTCTGTGGTGTGGACTTTGCTGTTTTTTTTTTGGGCTGTTTTGTTATTGGTTTTCCTCAGTCCACCTGGCTTTTCTCTGGTTTGGTTTCTTGTTGTTCCGACACTTTTCTGTTGTCTCTTTGCCTGTTTTTCGTTGTTTCTTTTTCTTGTGCTTTGTAGGTGTGCTTGCCTCTTTTTATCCCTCTTTGTCGCGCTTCCCCCCTATGGTCATTTTAATTGGATTTTCTCTTGGCTTTGTGGTGGGTCGTTTTAGTTGCAGCTCTTTGGGTGGCAGTGTTGAGAGACTTTAGTGCTAAGCCTGAGGGTAAGCACTCTGACGCTCCCTGGGGACCTACCCCTCACCCGGCCAGGCAGTTTTGGTAGGGGTGTCCATTAGGACACCCACACCTTCTCTGGCCAGGGATCAAGTGCGTAAGACAATCTTCACCAATCAGACTGTCACTCCCACAAACAGGGATGTAGACACAGTGCCGCTGCTGGGACTCACTGATTCTGACAGCATCTCCCTAAAGTGACTGTCAGGCAGCTGCTGGCATCTGGATCCTCTTTCCAAGACCTGGTTTTCTAGCTTTTTCTTTGATTCTTGTGAACTACCTTAGGATCCCGTCTCTTACACGAGTTAGAGTATCTGTTGCTTGCACCTAAAATCCCTGACTGATAAGGCATCTAGACACTCTGCAGGCTTGGGGAGGAAGGGGGAGGGCAGGTCCTTGGACCAAAAATGCCCAGAGGAGTCAGGGAGAAGCAGGTGTGAAGGAAGGAAAAGTGGAGCTGTGGTTATCATACTGAGACACGGGGAATTCTCTCCCTCCCTCTCTGTCGTCAGGTCTCAGTCTTGACTAAGTGGCCTTACAGACAAATATAGACAGTACCAGAAAATGAGCTTCAGTTAATAACTCCCCAAGCCCCCTAAGCTAAGTGACAGAATTCAATTGCCTTTAATGGGGGTGTCTATGCCTCTAACAGGGGGATACAGAAGGAGTAAAGGAGGCAGTTACAGGCACCCCCTCCCTGGGGGTTCTGGGGCAAGTCACATTTCCTCCTTTGGCCTCATCTGGTTTGGATCCCTGCTCATGGATAGAAGCACAAACCCCTAGGCCCTGGTAACCTCTGATTGAAAGAGGTCTGGGTGGGGCCCCGAGGGTGTGTCCTTTAGAAAGGTCCCTGGAGGGACTGTCAGGGACTCAGGATGAAATGACCTTCCAGAGTCTTTCCAGCTGAAAAGGCTTTCACTCTCAGCCAGTGCCTGGAGGCTGGGAGTGGGCTGTCAGTCAACAACAGAGCTGGAGGGGAGGGGTGCTGAATGCAACCAACCATCCCACTTTGTCCCAGATCAGGGGTTTTCTGGGATAGGATACTTTCAGTTTTAAACCAGAGACATTTGCAGGCAAACTAGGACAAGCTGTCACCCCAGTTTGCTGGTGATGCTCCTTGGGGGCCGTCCCGAGGGCACGGCAGGTTTGCACTGGCCTCTAGCCCACCAGATTTCTTGCCTTCTTCAAGCTCCCCACTCACTCCTGATTGGAAAGCCATGGAAGGGCTGCTGTGTTTTCATCATTGGAAAGTTTAATTTTTTTTTTTTTTTTTACAGTTTTTGTCCAGTGCTGGGTTTGAACCCGCCACCAGGCGCTGCCCCATTAGAAAGTTTTAAGCCATCACTGAGAAACAACAGCAACAAATGCTCACTTCATCTGTCACTTCATCTGATTTCAGCCTTGCTAAAATTCCTAAGTAGAAAAAAGTGCTCCGAGATGACTGTTTTCTCTAAATTCCTCCAGGGTTAAGGCCGAGTCCTGTTCATCTCTTTATCTCCAGGAGCCTGACTCAAAGTGGGTGCATCTGTCACCCTCCAGCCTGAACCCTGTTGATGACCTCCCGCTGGTTTAGGACGAAGATGCCAAATCCTCACCAAGGCCTACAGACCCCTCTGGGTGTGGCCACCTCCCTCTGTGCTCCCCATCTCCATACTCCCCCTGCCCTCATACTCCTGCTGCCCAGCCCCTTCCGCCCCATACCAGGACAGCACATTGCAGGCATCAACCCCTACTCAACCTGCACCCCCTCCCAGGCTCCCAGGTGCCTTCCCTGACCCCCTAACTAAATCCAAACTCCTGAATGTGAAACATCCCGCCAACTCCCTAATATAAAATGTCCTGCCTCCTCACCAGCCAACCTCTCCCTTCCAAATCCTTGGGGCAGCCCTCCCCTGGCCTCCCTCCTGGGTGGATGGGAAGGAGTGCTAGTTCAAGGAAGCCAGTTATCACACTTACAGGACATTAGCTGGATGATGGAGGTCAGAACGAACCTCTCGCCCTGCTTGAGGCGGAAGAGCTGGAGCAGGAAGATGAGGAAGGCCATGCAGCAGAGAATGGTAGACAGGATCATGGTGGCCTGGACCGCCTGCAGCGTGGGGTAACCTGCAGGCGAGGGCAAGGGTGCATGGCTGAGGACCACAGCCAGCCGGTGCCTGGTGTGCACAGTGACCGTGGCAGTGCAGGAGTGGGGACCACAGGGCACAAAGGGTACAGGGTCCAGGGTCCAGCTGTTATCTACACAGTCTGACAGAGGGAAGCCACAGTGTCTCCCAGACCACATCCCTCCCTCCAGTGTCCACATCCCAACATCACCTGGAAAATGGGGCAAGAACCCTAGCCTGCTGTCTGGGTCATGGCTCCCAAACGTGTGGCTCATGGACAGGAATTTTTTCTTTTTTTAAGTACAAATCCCCAGGTTCCAACTTGTTCAACTGTGTTTGAGAAGTCAGGGTGGAGCCTTGGGGGTCTGCACTTTAGAAAGGTCCCTGGAAGGACTGCCATGGACTTGGGGCTCAGGGGACTCAGTGGCCTTTGTGTACACTCTACAGCAGCCTGGAAGCATCAGAGAGTGATCTTCATGGGCATGCCTTACAGAGAGAAGGGATGTCTCTTTCATTTCAGAACAGCCTGAACAGAGATTGGGGACCAAGGGTTTGAGGTACAGCACAGGGAAGGATGAGGCTCAGTGGAGAGGGGAGAGGTTTGGGAGTGAGGATGTCACACGAGAAGGACACAGCCTTGCACCAGAGGTGCAGAGGAGTCAAGCACATGGGTTGCAGCCAGCTGCATGGGCCTCAGTTTCCTCACCTGTAAAATGGGAATACTAGCAGCTCCCCCTCACAAGGCGGGGAAAGGGAAGTAAGCTCATCTATGTTAAGGATTTAGAGCAGTGATTTTCAACTGGTATGCCCTAACAATTTTTAAAGACCATTAATTAAATTATTTTTGAAAGAAGTTCAAAGCACAGTAAGTATATTCTAATCTTAACTCTTTTTTATTTGATCAACATAATTCAAGTGTGCCATGGAAGTTTAACTAAAGGTTCAAGTGTGCCAAGAGATAAAAAAGGTTGTAAAACATTGGTTTAGAGGGTGACAGAAGAGAAAGTCCCCTGTTGTCACCAGGGGGTAGATTAAAGGGTGAGGAGAGAAGGCCTATGTAACACAGGAAACTTAAGTTTAAGGACAACTTTTCTTTTCTTTTCTTTTGCAATTTTGCTTTTTTTCCTGAAACTTACTGGAGGGAGCATACTTTGTTTTTTTCTGGCATTTACAATAGGTTTTTGTTTTTGTTTTTTTTAGGAAGGAGCATAACTTTTAAATTCTTTTTCAAGTGTTTAGAGCAGCAGATCCTAATTCATTCTGGAGGCAGAGTAGGGTCACTTGGGGAGCACCCGGCCCCTCCCCCAATTCCTTAGCTCCAGCAAGGGAAGAACCAGACCCGCCCCCTCCACCTCCACTCCTTTGCTGTGAAGTCCAGGAACCCTGGGGTAAGCTACAGCAACAGGGACAGAAGTGCTGCCCTGGGGGCAGGGGTGGTGGCAGCTGAGAGGCAAGGGGCCTGGGGAAACTTTAGGAGTGTCGGGAATGTTCTCTGTCTTGTTTTGGATGGTGGTTACATAGGTGTTCATGCAATTGTCAAAACTCATCAAACTAAGCCCTTAAGACAGCGATCCTCAACCTATGGGTTGCGATCCCTTTGTAACAATGAAAATACATCCTGCATATTAGATATTTACATTATGATTCATAACTGTAGCAAACTTACAGTTATGAAGCAGCAACGAAAATAATTCTATGGTTGGGCGTCACCACAATATGAGGAACTATATTAAAGAGTGACGGGGCTCGGCGCCTGTGGCTCAAGTGGCTAAGGCACCAGCCACGTACACCTAAGGTGGCGGGTTCAAATCCAGCCCGGACCCGCCAAACAACAATGACGGCTGCAACCAAAAAATAGCCGGGTGTTGTGGCGGGCGCCTGTGGTCCCAGCTACTTGGGAGGCTGAGGCAGGAGACTCGCTTGAGCCCAGGAGTTGGAGGTTGCTGTGAGCAGTGAAGCCACGGCCCTCTACCCAGGAGGACAGCTTGAGGCTCTGACTCAAAAAAAAAAAAAAAAAGGGTGATGGCATTAGCAGGCATTAGGAAGGTTGAGAACCACTGCCTTAAGAAGTGTGTGTTTCCTTGTTTGTAAACTATAACTCTATTTAAAAACCAAAAAGGCCCACCAGGCTATACCAAGAGGAAATAAATCAGAAAGTTGGGCATTGAGACTAGGCATTGGGCATTTGTAAAGCCATGGAGTAAATTCCAACGTGGGGCCAAAGCTGTGACCTTCCAGCTTAGAGAGTGGCTTCCCAAATCTGTCCAATTTCAGGAACTATCTGGGAATGCTTGTGAAAAATACAGATTCCTGTCCCCACCCCCAGAGATTCTGCTACCGTCACCCTGGTAGGTGGCCCGTCTATATTTTTAGCTACAGGTGACTCATAATAATGGCAAATGTGGAAAACATGGCTTTAGGGGAAAAGACAGATGAATGTTTTTAAAACAGGGATTCTCAAAGCTGGGAGGTGGGTGCAGAATGTGCCCATGAGATTGGCATGTGTGGAATCAGTGAGGGTACACACCCTCACACACACACACCAGCGGGACTTCACTCACCAAGAGGGCCATTCACTCTGCTTTGTTTAACTCTCCTGAGGACCTCAAGGAGTTCTCCACTGGTGCTTTGGTACTTTTATAATACTTGCTAATATCTGGGTTTCAGTTGTTTGTTTTGTTTATATTAACATGGAAAGAACGCAAAACAGGCTCACAGCCTCCAGGAGGTCAGCTCGCCTGGCCAGACCCTTATAACATCATCTGGTTTTCAACCTAGTATTTTCTAAAAGCTTCCCTTCTTTTATGACAGGTAACTAGTTTATCATTTATGGTAAGGATGCAAAGTTACCTTTAAAATAGATTTATGTAAAGAAAAAGTGAGCTATTTTAAAAAGCAAACTTTTTTAGTAAAGGGCCAGACCGTTGATATTTTAGGTTTCCTGGACAGTATGATCTCCTGTCAAACATTCTCTCTTTTTTTCTTTTTTCCATTTTGTTTTGGTTTGGGGTTTTTGTGTTGTTTTAAACTACTCTTTAAAAATGCAAAATGTTCTCAGCTCCAGGGCCAAACAAAAACAGGCCTTGGGCTGAATTTGGCCAGTAGTTCACCAACCTTGTTTTAAAGAAAATAACAAGTAAATTATCCCACACAGAGGATGTGGAATACGGACGACAGAGGCTTGGAAACACTGCACAGAGCACAGCTACATCTCCCAGCTGGCCACACGTGCTGGCCACAGCTGGGGTTTGCAGAGCACGGAGAAGAAGGCTGTTCCCAGGGCCAAGGGATAGCATGACAGATAAACAGATGGGGAGGGAGAGAGCACTGGCGGTGTCCTGTGGGTAAGAGAGCAGGCTTTGGAGTTGGTCACTTTGAGATTGGAATCCTGGCCCCATCATTTGCTCCTTGGGTAATTTAACTGTTCCATACCTCAGTTTCCCCATCTTCAAATGGGGCCTATGTTCCCTCCCCAACAGGGCTGTGAGATCACCTACGTAAAGGACTGAGACTCACCTCACAGTAAACCTCCCATGAACAGTGCCTTCTACTGGGGTTTTTGCTACCTTTATTGTCAATGTTGGTACTGCTGCTGGGTACACAGTGCGACTCTGGGACCCGGTGAGTAGGGTCCCTTGTTCCCCGAGTAGAGCTGTCATATGTAGCAAACAAATGTAAACACCAAGACAGAACGCCCAGTAGAATCTGAATATTCGATAAATAACAAATACCTTTTAGCATAAGTATATCTCATATACTATCTGGGACAAACTCATACTGAAAAAGGATCTGTTGTTTATCTCAAATATCTAATTTAACTGGGTATCTGGTATTTTACCAGTTGCCTGGGACCCCAAAGTGTCCCATCCATCAGTTCTACTGGGAAAAACAGAACCATTCACTTCCAAGTGAAGGAGAGTGGTTAGTGACGCTTTTACAGGGGGATTTTCTGTATTTCAAAGCCCCTTTACCTATTTTAGCTCATTTAAAGAGGTAGGTGTCTCCAGCCTGTGTGGTCCTCTGCCCCCTGTGCCCTCAGTGAATTCAGCCAGCCCCTCCCCCCCAAGTGCTGTGAAGGGAGGAGAGGGGAGGAATCAGGGACCCAAAGACTCACTCCAGGGCTCCTTTCTCACGAAGGTTTCCCAGCTGGCTTCAGTCATTCACACTCACCATTAAGGCTTTCATTGACTTCTGTACAATTGGTGTTGTTGACGCATATTCTCCAGAGATCTACAAAAAATTCATCTCCTACCCACCAGGCCTGTAACATGAAACAGAAATAGAGAGAAAGGCTGTTTGTTCAGCAATGACACAAAAGCCCCGACTTCCAATGAGGCTCGAGGTGCAGAGGTAAAGAGGGGTCCCCAAATGCAGCATGTGTGCAGATCACCAGGGGATCTTGTTGAAGGATTCTGACTCAGGAGGGCTGTTGAGGGGGGCAGGACTTCCAGGTGATGCCCTGCTGCTGGTCTGCTGAACAGGAGGCCCAGGCCCTCACAAGGTGTAGGACAGAGTTGAGCTGAGCTGACAGTAATCAGACCAGATGGTCATCCACCCCACCAGAACTATAAGGGGACGTAAAGGTGGGGTAAGGAAACCATGCACTCTAGGCGAGAGGCCTAGGATGGATGGAATGATCAGACCAGACAGATGGAACTTTCCTGCCTACAGCCCAGATGCGTTCGTTTATTTCCCTCTGTGCTTCTGTAGCTCCCTCCCACCCACACCACCCTAGATGGTCTTCTTAATTCTCATCCTCTCAAAGACTGGACCTAACCCCCCATCCAGTCAACAGACATTCACTGAGCTCCTACTACAGGCCCAGAGACAATGCTGAGCACAACTTCAAATGCATCACCAACATCATCAGACTCACTAACAGGAAAAAGCCACCTGCATCTTCCCAGCAAGGGCTGGGATGACATGAACACTCTGGGGGAGCCCAACAGGACGGACTGCTGTTCGGAGGCACATGCATTTTCTGCCTCGAATGTCTGTCTATCCCTTTCACTAAGTCTGAGACCTTTTCAGGATCCCAAAGGACTGACTAGATGCAAGAAATGAAAAAGGAGATTCTAAAAGAACATTCAATACTGTATTTCACAGACAGTGGGCCATTTGGATGCTGGAGTCCAGATACCCATAGCATTAATGTGATCCCTGCCTGGGCCGCTCACAGGAGCTCGGCAAGAACCTCCTCAACCCAAATACAATCACTGTACTCATTTTCCCTGTCAGGGTCGGGGACCAGGAGCCTCTGGAATAGTTTCAAATCCTGGCTCTGCCACTTCCTACAGTGTAAACTCCACCAACTACCCAAACTTCACAGAGGCTCAGTTCCCTACAAGTAAACCAGTGCCAGAAGAGAACCTACTGAGTGCAGCTGAAGGGCGGATCACAGGAGATGACGGGCAAACAAGGGCTCACCTCGGCCCCAGCATGGTAACGGCTCTCTAGGTGACTGGTGTTATCATTTGTTATTATTGCTATGACGATTAATCAACAAGAGTCCTGTACACAGGCAGAGCTGGTGACCACTCATATGGTGCACGTTCTGAGTTCTGAGCTACATTTCTGCCCCTTAAATATCTCCACAGTGTGAAGTTATCAGGATGGAAGCCCAGTCCTGGGATTAGCACATGGGCCATAGATGAGCTCCACTAGAAAGCTTTATTTCCTGCCTGGAGAGATACTAATCTATGCCAAAGGGTTATACGTTCCTGCCATCTGGCTGCAAGCTGGATAGTAGAGGAAAGAGCCATGTGGAGGGTCTGGAAATTTCGAAGCATGAGCTCTGCTGGGGATGGCAGGGCCAGGTAGGCTCACAGCAAGGGATCCTAGCTGGCAGGGAGATATCTGAGGTGCAGGGAGCAGAGGTCACCTGGAATGGGTCACCTGGGGGGACCTGGGGCAGTAGCCCTCCCCAAAGAGGGTGGTTTTGCTTCCCAGGTCTTCATTACCAAAGACGTATTTGGGGGCAGCAACTATGGCTCAAAGGAGTAGGGAGATGGCCCCATACACCGGAGGTGGTGGGTTCAAACCCAGCCCCGGCCAAAAACTGCAAAAAAATAAATAAATAAAAAACAAAGACATTTTTGGTTGTCACTACCAGAGGTGGGGTTGCTATTAGCATCTACTGGGTAAAGACCAGAGATGCTGCTAACTCCTACAGTGAGCAGGAAGGGTCAGCCAGCCCCAAGTGGCACAGTGGCGAGGCTGAGAACTCTGACTGAGGGGACAGCTGAATGCACATGACATCCTTGAAGGGCTTCCTAGAGCCAGGCTTTGCGGGGGAATCGGAGATGAGAGGACAGAGGTCCCTGCCCTCTAGACCTGCACATGGGGTACTCCAGAAGCCCCATTACCTAGGCCAGGCATCCTCAGTCAGGGGTTCAGAGGATGGGCATGCCTCACTAGGGAGGACGCCCCCAAACCATGACCTCACCCCTGCCCTACTGGGGTGAGTGGTGAGGTGGACATGGTGGTTCTGTGCCGGTCAGCAGGAAAGGGCACTTACGTTGTCAATAGTAGCGATGAACAGCAAGGCTGCGGAGGTGATGTGGAAGAGAATGATGAAAGCAAGAAGCACCAACATCTTTCCAGGGCACGGCAAGGCGAGAAGGCACGTTTAAAGTCCAGCAAGGGATGTGCTGCAGAGGGTGACAGAGAGATTCAAATCTGCCAACGACAAAATGAAATTAAAAATAAAAATAAGCAAATTTTAAGCTAGGCATGGGGTCTTACGCCTGTAATACCAACACTTTGGGAGGAACACTTGAGGCCAGGAGTTTGAGTCAAGCCTGGGCATTATGGTAAGACCCAGTTTCTATGAAAAATAGAAAAAAATTATGCAGGCACAGTGGTGCACAGCTGTAGTCTCAGCTACTGGGGAGGATGAGTGGGGAGGATGGCTTGAGCCCTGGAGGTCAAAGTTACAGTGAGCTATGAGGGTGCCACTGCACTGTAGCCCGGGTGACAAAGCGAGAGTTTATCTCTAAAAAAATGTCTAAATAACATTTTAGTGGGGTCTTAGAAAACAGCTTTTCTCATCTTCCTTCACCTGGAGACTCAACTGCACAAAAAAGTCTGGCATGAAGACTATTCGATATTAGATCCAAATGCCAAATATTCCTTGTGGGGAAGGAGGGGTGAGGACCCATGACACTCCCTAATCCAGAAAAGCACTGTACCTTTTATTTTTTACTTATTTATTTATTTTGAGACAGAGCCTCAAGCTGTCCCCCTGGGTAGAGTGCTGTGGTGTCGCAGCTCACAGCAACCTCAAACTCCTGGGCTTAAGCGATTCTCTTGCCTCAGCCTCCCAGCTCTGGTGTATGTGGCTGGCACCTTAGTTGCTTGAGCTACAGGTGATGAGCCCATTGTGCCTTTTATTTATTATTATTATTTTTTTCTGAGACAGAGCCTCAAGCTGTTGCCCTGGGTAGAGTGCTGTCGCATCACAGCTCACAGCAACCTCCAACTCCTGGGTTCAAGCGATTCTCCTGCCTCTGCCTCCCAAGTAGCTGGGACTACAGGCGCCCACCACAACGCCTGGCTATTTTTTTTTTGTTGTTGTTGTTGCAGCCCTCGTTGTTGTTTGGTGGGCCGGGGCTGGATTCGAACCTGTCAGCTCAGGTGTATGTGGCGGGTGCCTTAGCCACTTCAGCCACAGGCGCCGAGCCCCATTGTGCCTTTTAAACACACCATAAGCACCCTGAGAGACACCCAGTCAGGAAGGAGTAGCTGTGTGCGTGCTGATATGTTCCTGATCCCACAGGCACCTGCCTTGGTCCCACATCCCAGGAGCTCATAGTCTGAAGATTCATTATCAGAGTCCCTGCTTCAGAACAAAGCAAAAGTTACCACAGTACAAAAATATTTCCTGGCTTGGCACCTGTAGCTCAGCGGCCAGGGCACCAGCCACATACACTGGAGCTGGCGGGTTCGAACCCAGCCCAGGCCTGCCAAACAATAGTGACAACTACAATCAAAAAATAGCCAGGCATTGTAGTGGGTACCTATAGTCCCAGCTACTCAAGAGTTTGAGGTTGCTGTGAGCTATGACGTCAAAGCACTCTATCTAGGGCAACATAGTAAGACTTTTGTCTCAAAAAAAAAAAATTTCCTGATGATCTATTTATAAAATGAATTTATAAAATAAATCCTAACTCAAATACCCCTCCTCTTAACATTTATCCCTCATTTGAACAATATTGAACCCTCAAAGTACAAACACCATGCATAACAGCTACCATTTCATTTACCTCTTGCTGATTGCACAAGAAGACTACATTTCCCAGACTCCCTTGCAGTCAGGTTGGGTCCTTGTGACTAATTCTGACCTATGGGTCAGAATTGCATAGGATGTTCTGTTTCCAGAGGAAGTATGAGAGAGCAAGTGTGAATTCTCCTTGTTTTCTCTCCCTGAAGAAGCAGCAGACATGGTGCAGCCATAATACCTTGAAGCATCACACCTTGGATAGACACTCCGATTGAAAGATGAAGCCTTCAGATATTAAGCCACTGAGATTTCAGGCTTAATTTTTTTACTCTGGCAGGACAGTCTGAATAATATACAACAGGAGGTAACTCTAGGGTGACCAGATTTTAACGTTTGTAAAGCAGGACAACATGGCCCGGGGGCGGGACGGGGCGGGGCAGGGCCTGACAACAATGCAAACTTTGATAAGCAGTTCTCAATAATCACTTCTCTACAATTATTTGTTATTATTACAGTTTAACATTATAAAATTAACAAAAATAATATAAAACTCATATTCTGGTGAAATAGCCACATGGCAGTGGAAAACCATATATTCCCTTCCTGTTCTCCCGCCCGTTCATGCATTCTTTCCAAAAATCGGGACTTTTTTAAAACGCCACGGGACGTGGGACAAATTGTTAAAAAGCAGGACGTCTGGTCACCCTAGGCAACTCCAAAGTGAAACTGGAAATCTTCCAAAAGAGCTACAGTTGTACCAAGTTGATGACAGTGACATGGCCTGAGCTGGACAAGTTTGAAATAAAAGAGGAAATAATTAACATGGAAGATGTAAAAAGAAAAAAAGGAAAGCAAAAGGAAAAGCATTTAAAGGGATTATTTGAATATCAAAAGATTAATGTCATACATGGGAAAACCGAGGAAACCTTTGAACATTTTTGCAAACACGACCATGATCTTGGTCGATAAAATTGAAAGGTCAATGAAGATGTCCTCTCCCTCTCCATCTGGTTGGCAGACTGCAACTAAAGGAACACTTGGCTCATTCCATAATTGCAATTGGACATTATTACTAACATTATATAGAAAATAAAATTAATTTTTAGTTTCTTTTTTAAAAGACTGTCCAAATCATACCTTGTTTTCACTATGATGAAATTTTAGCCCCAGTTTTAAATGGATTGGTATGCACACACACATTTTCTCTACTCGTTGAGAGCAAGTTACCTAAACCATACCTTCTTTATATCTAAATACCTTAGTGTGTAGGCTTGGTGCCAGTCGCTCAGTGAGTAGGGTGCCAGCCACATACACTGAGGCTGGCAGATTCGAGCCCGGCCCAGGCCAGCTAAAACAACAGTGACAACTGCAACAAATAAATAGCTAAGCGTGGCGGGCGCCTGTAGCCCTAGCTACTAGGGAGGCTGAGGCAAGAGAATCACTTAAGCCCAAGAGTTTTAGGTTGCTGTGAGCTGTGCCACGGCACTCAACTGAGGGTGACATAGTGAGCCTCAGTGCGTCTTTCCGAAAAACAAAGACATTTCCTTACATATCCACGGTACGGTACAATGATCGCTCTGAAGACAATCTTATTACCACATCTATAGTCCCTTCTCACAGTGCCCGATTATCCCAGGAACGTTCCACACTGCTTTCCTTTCTCCCGGCTCAGGGTCCAGTCCAAGATGTCTCTTTAGTCTCCTTCAGTACAGAATGGGTCCCCCGCCTTTCTTTGTCTCTCACAACATTGATATTATTTGAGTGTTGACTATTTATTGTGTAGAATGCCCCTCAAATTTGTGTTCGGTGCTTCCTCATGATTTGATTCAGGTTATGTTTTGTTGAAGGAATACAACATAAGCCATATGTCCTCAGCGTGTCCCACCAGGAAGTATAGTGCAGAGCACTGCTAACTTGGATCTCTTGGTTAGGGTCTGCCAGATTTTTTCACTGCACATTTTCCCTTTGCAATTAAAAAATAATTCGTGGGTATGAGATTTTTATTGTGGTAAAATATGCATGGCATAAAATTTACCATTGGTGACACTCACTACAGTCACAATGTTGTACATCTCACATCATTATCAAGTCACTCTCCTGGCCCTCCAGCCCCTGCTAACAACTAATCTGCTTTCTGTCTCCAGGGATTTGCCTATTCTGGATATTTCATGTAAATGGAATCATACACTAAGCGGCTTTTTGTGTCTGTTTTCTTTCAGTGTAATGCTTACAAGGCTCACCCATGTTGTAGCATTTGTGGGGAGGTATTTTGAGCTAATGTAAAGATCTTCTATCTTATGAAACTTTCACCCCAATAGTTTAGGCATTTACTAATATTTCTGAAATAGGATTTATTTAAAATAGCCTTTTTCTGCCAACTCGCCCACCTCCTCTAGTGGACATGCACGGCACAAACGCCCCACCCCTTCTCTGCCAGTTCTGCTGTCTGAACAGGCACATCTCACCCCATGTCCCCTCCCGGGACTGACCAATGCTGTGGGCTCACAGGAGGCCACTCCTTGAGACAGTGAACCGGGAACTATGTGGCTGCAGAACTCAGTCTGGGAGGTCCCAACTCCAATTCTGTGCATCACCACTCAGAAGAACCCAAAGAACCAGTTCAGAGATTCTTCCAATTCTTTTAAAAAGGACAAATTACCCTTTGTTTGTTCCTGCGTCATTCTCAGCAGCCATCATATACTGCCTCCAAATAGATGCATTTCTTTTTTTTTCCTCTGTCTCCCAAATAGATGTATTTCTGACCGGGGGCGGGGGGTGGGGGGTGTGTACCATGCTGAACACTGTGTTACTTTACTATCGGGTAGCACGCCACAATGCCAGCTTCATCAGGGCCCTAAACTCCAGCGTGACAATGGCCTCACATATTGTCCTGCTCAGATGACACAAATACATAGGGACACATAACTGAAACTTTCTAGAAAAGAAAAAAGGGTTTAACCCATTCTTCTCTAAAGCATGGGATTCAAATAGTCTAAGGCATGATTTTGGATGTGCATTGATAGGGCATTAACATGAAATCACATAGAGGGAAAGTCCTCATTCCAATCTTTCTAAATCCACCAAGAAAAAAAGACCCAGTTTGGTACTTGTCCGACTCTAACACTTGTCAATTTCTTTTTCACAAAAAGAAAAGGCGTTAAGTCATAGTTCATAGCTAAGATTTAATAACTTTTGGGGGGTTATTATATTTGAGCTTTTTTTTACTAGGAAGTAGTATTACTTATAATGGTATAAAATCCATTTAAAACAAAATTGTTTTAAATGTGAGTCACTTAAGAAAAATGTTACGTAAGTATAAAGGACAGGTGGTCTTTTTCTTTCCTTTTTTTTAGGACAGGTGGTCTTGTGTTAGCAAAAATCCTGAGGGTAGTTCTCAAGGGCCTGATGATGTTGCTTTAAGCCCTGGGAAGGTATTCAGGTGGACTTCAGATGTGAG